CAGACCCAAGAGCTACCGGGAGAAAATCGTCCTCTGCTCCCTGTAACGATGTTTGGACAGAATATTTCAGTCGTTAATCACTTGCCCACAATATTTAACAGATGCAGAAGAGCAAACTGTGGGGGTCTAGCCTCAGATGAGAGACCAAACCTCGCTTTCTTGGGAGAATTTTATTTTTCTGTCTTTGAAAGTTTATAAAATAACTGTAAGTAGATGTGCTGAAGCTGGGGATAAAGTCTGCCAGCTGTCAAAGAGCAGTTGCTGCAGGTGTGCACTGGGGTTTGGGGTCTGCAGCTACCAGCAAAGATCTGGGAAGCCTCTGAAATCACCCCCCAGTTTCCCAAGGGCTGGTCCTGTTTGTGCTGCTGCCTTTTGTGTGTCCTTCCAGGAGAGAAGTGATTACCCTCACAGGAGCCAGAGCAGGTCATCTGGCAAAGCACCTTTCTGGGTGAAATTTGGATGTGGGGTTAGAGAAACACGATGCTGAAAGACAACTGCATTTATTACATCTCACAAATGTTACAATATGTAAGGAAAACAGAATACTGGAGTAACATTCTTATCTGCTGAAAATAATTGTTCAGATCTACTGAATTCACACAAAAATCACATTACAATGTGCGTGAAAAGGAGGGAAATCCATGTTTCAGAAAATATTCATGCAGCTGCAGTAGGAGATGATCTCGTTCGCAAGGTCACAGTAAGAGTGAGTCCTAATTAGAGCCGGAGTTATTAAGAACCCTTATGAACAAGGCTGATCGAGGCAGTGAGAAGACGAAATATTGCATGCAGAAAAGGACCGCCGTTGCAGATGTCTGTTTTATTCTATCTCTTACTTGTGTATATCAAGATAAGAAATCAATACCTATTTGTAAGGCATGAAATCAACTTAGCAAAGAGACTTTGCCTACTTTACCTACAAGACTTTGCTATTTTCCATAACCTGCAACCAGCCAGAGGCCTGACAAGCTGTGTACTGTCAGTGGGGAGGGCAGTGGGGAGCCCCGAGTTCAAGAAGACACCATGGGCCAGGTACAGCAGGGAGGAAACTCTAGAATCCCAGCACTCAGCTAAATCCATGGCTCTGCCTATACCCTGGGAAACAAGGCAACGAGACTGAGATGCCCAAACATATAAAAATACTCCTTGTAAATTAGTGAAAATCTGGAGAAGGCTGAAAGACTGTTCACACAGAATGATTAAATGTTGGGCCTCAACTGGAAATTGCAAGTGAGCAAAGAGCCTTGGTAAGATATCAATGGCCATCAGGAAGGCAAAGTCAATCTATCGTCAGTCCTAGTGAGCTGCTGCTGAATGGGATGTAGGTACGTACCAAGGAAATACCTTAATATCTGAGTTCACCTGCAACGTCTTTAGCCTTAGGGACTGGTTGTGATTTTGAAAGAAAAAATAAGTCCTGTGTACTTTCTGGGAGGTTTCTTTTTAATGAATAAACAACCAAACTAAAATAGATCTGCATTGTGGCATGGTAATGAGTTAATGAGGAGTGAATACTACAGTCATGAAATCAGAGTCAGAATTAAATCAAACAGTGAATTAACAATTAAT